TCAGCTCCAGAGGGCCTGCCACCCCTGCGCTCTGTATCTGGACTTGCTGTCCCCAGGGTGGACATTGGGGCTTAAGCTTGAGTTGCTGCAGGGCCTTGGCCTTTCCCTGACCCCCTCCCATTTTTTCTGACTTCACGGGTGAAGAGGACCTCTGAGGGCTGAAATGTACTCCTGAGATGAATGGATGGGGGCAGCCTTCAGATTTTTTCCTGGACAGTTTCTGAGTCAGCTCTCCTTCCACTTCTGCCGCCTCCTTATTTCTGTGACTCCAGACTCATTAGGGCAAGAGTTCCCTGAGGCCACTTCAGCCCTGCTATTAGATTTTGCCTGTCTCCTTTGCCTCAAGCTTTTGCTGGGGCGGCACCTGGCTTTTGGCTCCTCGCCAGGGCGGCCACCTCCCCGTGCGTCCGCACCGCAGCCTCTCTGTTTTGTCTTGGCATCCACCTGCGGTGCAGGGTTGTAGTCGGCCTGAAATGTCAACAGGTGGCGCTGTGACCCCAGCTTCCTGCTTGCCTGGTGCAACAGGGTGAGGTAAGGTGCCTGCCCATTTGTCTTGTCCTGTCGTGTCCTGAGGGCCGAGTGACCTGGTAAATGCTCGTGGCAGGATCGGCAACAGCCAGGGTGGAGTGGGGTGGCCACAGGCCTAGAATATTCCATTTGGGATGTGTGAGGACCCTCCTTCTTGCTCTCGTGTCACTTCCTATGAAGCCAGTGTCTGCCCTCCCCTCCATTTTACCCAGAGGAGGCAGACAGGATTGGTGGAGAGCACCTGTGAAGCACGTCCCTGCTGCTTGATATGCTTGGCTCTCTCTCTCTCCTGCCGACTCTTGTTTACTCAACCTTTTAGAAAAGCAGGAAAGCCCTCCTCAGCGTCCAGAAACATCTTACCAGGTCTCTGGGGATGATGTTTGTCCGCCAAGGCCACTTTTGGATTCTCTTACGGTTCGGGCCCTGATGTCTCCCTCTGTCACTGGGTGCATTTATAACCCAGACCCCGGGCCCCTCTGCCAGCCCTGTGCTTCTGGGAAATCCCTTTGGCGGTGGCTTCTCACCTGTTGTCCAGAAACACCTAAGAATAGGTACCTGCAGAACAGGACTTGGGCGGTCGAGCCGAGCATGATGGAGCGGTGCCAGCAGGCATGGGGAGAGCAGGCTGCCAGCCTTCTCTCTAGGCTAACTGCTGTTTCTGCGCTGTTGAGACTTGGAGATTCTGAAGTGGAGTGCCTTCCGCCGTGTGCCCTGCTCTGTCCTGGGTCTGGGTCCCAGGGGAGACTCAGAGCATTCAGGAGACAGACAGAAAAAGGGTGCACTGATGTGCTTGAGAGGGAGTGGAGGGTTCCAGGAGCTTTGGAACTGGATCTTAGGTGAATGAAGGGCAGGCTCAGGAGCATGGGCCTAACATGTCAGGGGCAGTAAGAAGTTCTAGAATGCCGACTCCTGGGTAGCCCTGGGTGGCCATGCTAGGGAGTGTTGCTGTTGGTTTTTCTGGGTACCCGGCAGGGGCACCCTTTGGACTTGGGCCGGGGCACTGGGCTCTGCCCCCAGCTTTGATGATGAATGTTTTTACAAGTGCCTTCTCAGCTACCACGGCAGTCACAAGCCTAGCTGGCTCATCACCATGGGTCTGACATGGCACCTTTCTGTTGCCATTTGCTGTCACCCTGTGGTTCAACTGACGGGCAAGCCCTGCTTGTGTCCCCCTTCGCCGTGGCCGGGCTAAGGGAAGGCTGAGTCTGGGGAGAGCCAGGGCCCCAGACCCACGTTCTGTCCTGGCCAGAGGTGTGGTCTCACAGCTGCGGGGGAGCGGGAGACGTCATTTGCTGGGCCCCTTGCCGGTGGACCCGGGACAGGAGGGTTAGGAGATTGAGGGTGCCGTCCTGGGCCCGAAGGCATCTGTAGCTGGGCAGCCAGGTGAGGAGCAAGTGACACAGTGATATTGGGAGATGATCAGGAGAGAGCAGGGACCGTGCAACAGGCGAAGGGGACCCTGGGCATTCAAGAGAGGCTTTGAGGGGGGAGAGGGGTTGAGCAGGCTGGCTCTTGAGTCATCAGTGAGTGTACTCCACCAGGAGGGGGGACTGCCACAGGCCAACATGCAGTGGCATGGAGATGAGGCAAGCGAGGACTGGTGTGTTCACGCGCAGCCAGCGGTTTGGTGTTACTGGAGCAGAGGGCCATGCAGGTGGGGAGGGGACAAGAGCTAGCTTGCCGACGGCCGTGTGCCAGCCAGAGGCAGTAGGCGGGCATCAGGGATCACAGCAGAGGGGTGACATGGTCAGACTGTCTTGGAGAAGGGTCGCTGGCTTTCTTTGGGGTTGTGGTTTGCAAAACTGTATGATCAAGGGTAGGGAGGAGGCCGGTTAGGAGCTGTTCAAGTCACCCAGGAGAGAAGCAGTGAGGCCTCAGGAGGACTGGGGCCCCAGGTGACATGCAAGTCTGAGAGCTCAGGTAGATCAGCAATGCCATCTACTGCAGGGCTGGTTGGCTTGTCTTGGATGGGCTGAGTCGACCATACCTTGGGGATACACAGGAGCCACCAGAGGGTAGGCCGCTGGATGTCGGGGTCTGGTCGAGATCCTGAAGGCAGACAGTTGGGGTGTTGGAAGGGAAGGGGAGGGGAGAATTGCAAGGGGGTGACCTGTCAGCTGCCCCAGACGCTACAGACAGGCTGCTTCTGGGATGCGGCAGTTACTGCTGGTGGTGTGGTCAGGGCAAGGCTCAGGTCAGTGTAGGTTGGGGCATGGAGGGGCCAGGGAAGTCACGAGGGGCTTGGGCTGCTGGGCAGGAGAGCCTGGAGGGCTGAGGCTCCTGGCAGAGGGAATTACCCGGAATCGCCAGGGGCTGGGTTGGAGGAACAGGTCTAACAAGAAAGGAGAGGACAAGGATGAAGATCGGTGGCATGAAAGACACGTGGCGGGGGCAGGGCCCTGATCCTGGAGGCTCCTGACCTGAGTCCGGGAGGCCCTCACGGTGGGCATTTCTGGGGCTCGGTACCACATGTTCACTCTTGCTGCTCACTCTGGTTCTCCGTAAGCAGGGCTGGGCTGGGAGGGCCCCGAGCAGAGCTGGGCCCGGCCTCCCCAGCTCGGCCGCTGTGGTCACTCACAGTCCTGCCGCAGTCGGCCTGTGGGGGCTGGCGAAGAGGGAGCGTCATTTCGGGTTGGCCCGCCCTGTGGTTGCCGGCTGGGTCTGCCAGGTGGCACACGTGCCCTCCCCCCTAATCCAGTCTCCAGCTGGGAGGAGCAGCTGGCTCTACCCCGCCAGGATCGTCTCGGGCCTGCCTGTGGGCTTGGGGTTGAATGAGACTTGCCTTTCCTGCAGGGCTCCTCCGGGGACCGCCACTCTGCCTGTGTGCCTCAGGCACGTTGCTTCTCTCTCTCTGGCTCCCGGGGCGCTTGAGAGGTCCCTGTATCTCCAGGGCTCCAGCCCGGTGGGGGGCAGGCTGGTGGGCAGTCGGGGCTGAGACAGGGAAACCTGAGCCCCAGGCCACGAGGTCCCGCTCGCTAATTTTAGAGAGCACATGTCACTGGAAACTCTTCCTTCCTGCCAGGAATCAGTCGCCTGGCTCTCCCCATCCTGACAGGGGCCCCGGAGCCGTTTTCTGAACCAGGAAGCGTGATGGGTCCCTCACAGCCCCCGTGAGCCACTTCACCTCAGGCTCATCCCTGGCAGGGGCTCGGCCAGGGCCTGGCCAGGGTGAGCTGGGTGTCTCGTTGGCCCTCCCGTCTCTCCCTGCTCCTCTTGGCCGGTATGAGTAGCAGGTGTCCACAAGAGCCCTGCAGAGGCTAGAGATGATGCCTCAGAGCAGGCGGCCTCGGTTGCTTTGTCTCCTCTGAGTGAGCACTTCGTTGGGGAAATACCCTCTCTGAGTCTTCCCCTCGCCCCTGGGGCCCTGGCCGTCCCGCACCCTCCTTGGGGCAGTGACTGAGCAGGTCCATCCTAGCCTTTGCCCTGCTACATTCTGTACTCCAAGGCCAAACTTGCCTGTTCCTCCAGGTGTTTCTTGACTTCCTACTTTGGCATTCCAGTCCCCTATAATGAAAAGGATATCTATTTTGGGTGTTAGTTCTAAAAGGTCTTCATAGAACCATTGAACTTCAGCTTCTTCAGCATTATGGGTCAGGGCATTGACTTTGGTTACCATGATTTTGAACAGTTGGCCTTGGAGACGAAGGCTGGCAATGGCGTGGCTAGTCTGGACCTGAGATGTATGCCTGGGCCCTGATCCCTCATCCTCTGTCCCTCTCGCCCTGGGAGACCGCAGGGTGGTGATCCTGTCTAACACACGTGTTCTGGCAGCCGCCTGTAGACTGCCCATGGGAAGGGGCTGAGGAGAGAAGAGGTGTCTCCATCTCGCGGTTGCCCTGGGGCGTGGTTCCCTGGAAACTGAGAACATGGCATGGTTGCCAGCCTGGGCCTTGGGGTCAGAACGGGCAGGAGTGCACATTCCAGCCACTTTGGTTTCTGGCTCGTAAGCGATGGCTTCAGCTGCCTGAGTCTCTGTTCCCCTCTGTAAAATGGGGGCAGCGTTAGTGTCTGCCTCCCCAGGTGGGCTGGACGATTCGGCTGGCCTGTTTGAAGTGCCCCCAGCACGGGCTGCTCTGGGTGATCAAGGCAAGCGCAATCTTGCAGCAAGGAAAGGAGCAGCAGGGCTGCTTTGGCATGTCTGGGCCCCGCCCTGCAAAGTGCCAGGTTGTGGGCCTCCAGGCTGGATGTAGACCTGGTCCCCATTGTCCTGTCAGGCCCCTGCTGCCTGTGCCTTCAAGGCTGGAAGAGAGTCCCAGGGCTGCAAGCAGCCTTTTGGGGGCGGTAGCAATCATGGTGGCAGAGGACAGCTCCCAGCTCCATCTTTGCCCTCGTGTTGGCAGTACATTGCTCTTCTCCAGGCTGGCGAACCAGAAGGACAGGTCCTGGTTGGAGGCAGGTGGAGGGTGGGCGCAACCCAAAGAAATTCATGTGAGCCATTTTTTCCTCCCCCTTCATTTTATCAACAATTATAGCCTGCTTAGACGCCTGGTGACTCTCATCTCCCAGCAGGCCACACTGTTGGCCTCCAATGAAGCCTTTAAAAAGCAGGCAGAGAGCGCCAGTGATGCGGCCAAGAAATACATGGAGGAGAATGACCTGCTCAAGAAGGTGAGTTGGGTCCACTTGACCCCCTTCCTTCCCCCCTGCCACGTGACATTCTTTGTGGGCCTCGGAAATGTGTGTCGCTGCTGTTGTCCGAAAAGTGAAGCAGTCGGGCAGATGGACGAATGGACATTTCTCGGTGTGGAGGGCGGGTGTTCGGGAGGGGTCTGGGGGTCGTGTTGGCCAAGGGGGCGCCCTGGCTGCTCTGTTGGCTCTGCTGCAGCCAGGCCAGACTCTTCCCTGATAAAACCGACTCCCTAAGGAGCTGAGCGCTGGGTATTGAGCATGGGGCAAGTTAGCACAGAAACACCCAAGATGAGACCCCCCTGGTCTTCCCGAGTATGGCTATCAGCTGGAGATGAGGTGGGGCAGTCCTCGAAGGCTTGTCCGAGGAGGTGAGGTGTGAGCCAAACTGGAGAGGAGGAGATGGACGGAGCTGGATTCAGAGGCAGAAGACAGTTGGCTGGGCAGTGCTGCGTGGGGGCTTCTTGACTAGAGTGAAGGGTGGCCCTTGGGGAGAGGAAGACGGGAGGGCCTGAGTCAGTTGGGGGTAACTGACCGCAGTCCCCAAATGACAGCAAATTGAGTTGTTGGCTAGCTTGGGGGTAACTTGGAGGCGCTGCTGAGAATGGGGCCAGGGCAGGCAGGGCATGTAGCCTGTGGGCTGTAGCAGGTGGCTGGGAACACTCAGTGGCTTGATTCTGCCCTGACATTTCTGAAGGGGCAAGTGCCCAGGGCAGCTTGAGGAATCCCAGCTCAGTGGGGAGGACGGACGAGGCCTCCTTTCCCTCCCTCCCTCCCCCCCTCCACCTGAGTGACCCGGATCCTTGGCGCTCTTCCTAGGAAGCTGGCGATATCACCAAGTTGGGTGGCAGGGACAGTGACGTGAAGGTGCAGGAAGAGAACAGGAGCCTGAAGGCTGATCTCAAGAGGCTGAAGGATGAGCTGGCTGTCAACAAGCAAAGTGAGCACTACCCTCAGGTCACCCGTGGCCCCCAGAACTCCAGAGATTCCACGGGTGGCTGCCGCACCTTCTGTGCCAAAGGATTCATACCAAACTCGCACGCAGGCTGAAGAGCTGGGTGAAAGTAAACAGTGGCTCCCGGCTTGCACAGCCCAAGCCCAGCTGGGGTTGGCCTCAGCCAGTGGGGCTTTGTGGTTTAGCTGTCTGTGCAGGGTCCCACCAAGGAGGGCCAAGGCACTGCCCAGGCACCCCAGAGATGCAGGGGCTACCTCCAGAGCATCTCAGCCAGTGCCAGGCATGGGGAGTAGCACTCTGTGTCTTGTCAGCAGGGGCCTGGTGGGTGGGGAAGGCAGGCTAAACCAGAGCCGCTAGAGATGCTCCTATCTGCTTCCTTCCTAAAGGTCTCTCTTGACATGTCTCTTGTTCCCAGCTTCAAGACTGGGGTCCCACTGCTGCTGTCGCCCCCAACCTTTTCAGAATGTCTCTCCCAGGCCCCCAACCCCCCTGAAGTCACTCCTACTGAGAGCCATGCAGGGTCTCTCCATGACAGGGATTGGGGGGAAGGAGTCCCGATGTCTTCCTGTTGCCCCAGGTTTGTTGGCCAGGCCTCTCCCACTTCTGGAGACTCTGCTTCTGGATGCTTCCACAGCAGCTGGCAGAAGAGTCTTCTTGAGAGCAGGGGTCTCCCAGACACCCTCACTGGGGACAGACCTGGGGCAGCCGCATCTGCTGTCTCCAGCAAATGGGGCTTTTCAACCTCAACCTGATCTTTTCATTTTCCTTCCTTCGCCACTTGTGCTCCCCCCAGAATTGGAGAAGGCGGAAAATGAAGCTTTGGCCATGCGGAAGCAGTCTAAGGGCCTCACCAAGGAGTACGACCGCCTGTTGGAGGAGCACGCGAAGCTGCAGGTCAGCCCCTCAGCCTCCGGGTCGACCTGTCTGCTTGACGAGGCCTTGGAAGCAAGCTGGCCGCAGTCTCTCCTAGTTCCCCTGATTTCCTCTAGTGCTGCTCCGGCCAGTGCCAGTCTGGGCCCCAATAGCCAGAACTCCTCCTTGGGCAAGAGGGCTGTGGCCTGGTAGATGACAGTCACTTAGCAAGGCGGCCTTGGCCTCCAGGCCAGCCTTCTGCACTGTGGGCCTTCCCAGCCTCGTGCCCAGCATCAGTGCCCTTGAGAAGAGATCCTTTCCTGCCGTGTACCCCTGGTGCACAGTTTGGAGCCCCCCTGACTCCCATTCAGGTTCACTGAAGGGCCCCAGCAAGTACCAGAGAGGTTCATGGGAAACTCCCCTCCCTGCCCCTGGCCTTCCTGCACTGGGGCAGAGAGCGGGGAGCATCACAGGTCCTAGTCACTTGCCCGGTGTCCAGATGCTCCAGGAGACCGGAAACTGGGCCTGAGGGCTACGGAAATACCCCTGAGCTCTGACAGCTTGACTGAGTGCTTGGGGGCCCAAGTTGGGGCACCACGGAGGGCTGGGTTTTCGGGGCTGAGGGGACTGGAAGGCAAAGGGGAGGAGTGTGCCTTGCCCGCCCCCCACCACTTTGCAATCTTCTGTCCCCTCTGCAGGCGGCAGTAGACGGCCCCTCGGACAAGAAGGAGTGATGCTCCCTGCCCGCCCGCAGCCGGCTGCCACCCGAGGGCCCGGCCTCACTCGGTACTGCAGCTCGCTCCTTTGTGCTTCTGTTCCCTCGCGCTGCTTGCCGTTTCACATGCTGCTCGCATTCCTTAGGGGACCCGGGTTCCCCCCCAGAATGAGCCAGGCTGCGGCAGGGCTTGCTTCCCACTGGGCTAAGCCCCTCAATGTCATGTGCTGATATTTTGGGCTCCTAAGGCCCCTCTCCTCTGGTCCTGCCGCAAGGCAGGCAGAGCAGGAAAAATAGCTTCTTGGGGGGCAATAAAGTTTGTTGTGTTGTGTCTGTGCTGCGTGCGTGTGACTGAGGCTGCAGGGAGGCCGCCTTGTGATCCCCCCCACCTGGACCAGCTGAGATGCTGATGGCAGGCAGCTCGGACAGAGACCCTGGCCCCAGAGGCCTACAGGACGCTTTTCCCTGCCATTGTTCTAACTCCCAAAGGCTCCCTCCTCCCCAGCCAGGCGCTGGCTCGCACTTGGCCCATCTGTGTCCTACCTCGGGCACCCCAGGCCAGGCCTGGCTTGATGGCCACGTGGGGCGTGTTGGTCCCGAGGCCCAGGGGAGCTCGGGAGACTCAGGGAACCCACTGGACTTCCGGGTGGCAGCCTTGCACGCCTCCTCTGGGTCCTGTTCATCACATCGAGGCCAGATAGAGCATGGCAGACTGCCACCAGTCCCTCCCTGCCCCGCCCCCTCCTGAAGGTTTCCAGGATGACCTCTGACTAATGCCAGCAAGAGCGAAGATGTGCCCTTGGTGGTGACCTACGCCTGGCCCAGGGCAAACGGAGGCAGTGGGCAGAGCCTCCGGGTGGCTCTGGGGTCCCCTCTGCCACCCCATGAGCCTGCTCTGGTCTGGGCACCGCCTGGGCTGGTTTGGCAGGTGGCCGCCATCACAGAGGCTCTAGTGTTTTCTCCTCTGCTGCTCCTGAGGACTGGGTGAGGGGGTTGGGGGCAGGTCAGAGGTGTTTTCTGCTGGCATTTGGGGGCCCCTGGAAATGGGGGTGCAGCCAGCCAGTCTTGGGCACTGGCTCCTCCCACCAGGCTCAGGCTGGTAGCTCCCTTCAGCAGTGTTCTTTGCCCACGTTCTCGTGGGGAGTGCCACCCCCGTTTCCAGGCAGCCTTCTAGGTGGTGTCTGCTGTGGAGGGAGGCTGCAGGTGACACCCTCTGGTTGCTATGCCAAGGCTGAGAGCTTGTCCCACTTTTCCAGGAAGTGTTCCCTGACTACCTCAGCCTCCCTGGGCTCGCCTTGCTCTGAACTCCTGCAGGCCAAAGTCCACACTGTGGGCCCTTAGGTCCTTCCCCGGGCTGGGCGGAGGGGAAGCAGCTAGCTGGGGATGAGAAGAGAGTGACGGGGATGGCCAACTCTTAAAAATGGAAAGCATGGTGTCACCTCGCTTAAGACTGGAGGGCCAGCTGTGGGCACTGTCCACTCTGGCCCATTCTGAGGGCAGCTTTCAGCTGGCAGCCTCTGCTCTAAGTGGGGCTGTAAGCCACTGTACCCAGTAGTCTTCTCTGCCTTGCTTGCACCTCTGGTAACCTCGTGGGCACCATGGGGCTGGGCTGATCCATCTCCTGGCCTGTCTCTCCCACTGCTGGTCCGCATGTCCTCCATCTACCACAGGGACGGGTTCCTGAGTTAACGGGACCCAGCCAAGCAGCATGACCTCTGTCAAGTGCCCCTTACTGCACTGTTGATGTTTTCTGAGTCTTTGGTGGCCTGGTGGCAGGTGGCCTGCAGGCCATTTAGCAAGAGGTGACAAGGATGTGAGCCAAGGCACGGCCACAGCTAGGAGAATGGAGATGTGAAGGAGCTGGTGTGACTCACGGTCGGAAGATCCCCTGGAGGAGGAAACAGCAACCCAGTCCAGTATTCTGGCCTGGGAACTCCCCCGGACAGAGGAGCCTGGTGGCTGCAGTCCATGGTATCATGAAGAGGCAGATACGACTGAACACATGCAGGGTGGGGAGTGGCGAGGGCCTAGGGCAGCAGGGACTGTTGACGGAGGAGGTGGGGGTTGCAGGGGCCTTCTTGGGAAAGCCACACTGGTGGTTTGGGGAGCTGCCAGCACACAGGCTTCTTGGGATTGTGGGTGCGGCGAGAGCAGAAGCTTGTAGGATGAGGAGCCTTTCAGAGAAGGGTGAGACAAGGGTTGGGTTGGCAGGCCAGGCGTTGGCACCGCAGGGGCTGGGCCACCACCTCGCCAGGGAGGCGCCTCCACCAGCCGAGGCTCCAGAGGCCCAGGTTGGCTTGGGGTGGGGCCTACTCAGCTGATACTCCTCCACAGGCTCTGGTGACCCACACCCCGTCCAGGTTCTTGGTGACCACCGGAACGTTTGCTTATGATTCGCACAAGTTAGAGCCCACCCCTGGCTGTTCAGTTGAGAACTCAGGCCCTCCCCTCACTAAGGGGTCGCTGCCTGGCTAAACAGGGGGACTGGCGTGTGAGGGACTGAAGAGGAACCAGTTGTCTACTTTCTCTGAAGGGCCACCCCTTCCCTTCTGCCCAGGCTGGCATTCTGAGCAGGCAGCTGGTGCCCTACTTTGATGCCCACCCCAGAAAGACCCACCTCAGCTGATGACCAGACTGGCCCTGTCCACCCCTGTATCTGTGTCCCACCCCGCCCTCCCTCCTGTTACTCTGGATGGAGCCTGAATGGGTTTCCCTGGTCCACTTCTTCCCCGCCCCTCTGAAACCTCGTGCCAAAACTTCCCCTGGAGCCGTTTTCAGGATGGCAGTTGAATGGCAGTAAGTGCATTTCCGTCCTGTGCAGCCATCCCCATTGTGTGTCTCCTGAACTGTTCCCTCTCTCCAAATGGACACTGTCCCCGTTGAACACCAACTTCCCCCCTCCCCTTGCTCTCTGTCTTGGAATTGGACTCCTCAGAGAAGACACAGGATGCGTCTTCGGCTGCTTTCCACTGTGTGTCATGTCCCAGAGGTTCATCCATCTTGTTGTAGGTGTCAGAATTTCCCTCATTTTTCAGGATGGAGCTCTTTTTCTTTGTTCCTGTCTGTGGAGACTTGGGTTGTTTCCACCGCGTTCTTAATACCATCAAGTTTTTGCCTTTCCCCTCACCCCAGATTTCTCTTGTCCAGTGTGATCTTATCACCGAAGCTCCACCACCAGAGCCCATCACCCCCTCCTCCCTGACACCTGGAGGGGTGATGGCAGGCGCTTGTGTCCCTCCCAACCTTCCTGACTCTACAGCCAGCTCCCCCTCTGCTCTGCTGCGTCTGGGAGTATCTCGGGGCTCAGTGCCTGGGCCATTGCTCCCTCTCCAGCTGCCCAGGTTCTCATCCAGGCTCGGGGCTGTCTTTATGTAATGAGAACTCCCAAAATTCTGTGTGCAGTGCAGACTTGGCAGAACTTCAAACTCCTTGCCTATCTGCTGACTAGACACACACTTGGGATCCCGGCCATTCACAAACCTGTTGGTTGTTCAGTTGCCAAGTCGTGCCCAACTCTTTGCAACCCTATGGACTGCAGCATGTCCACAGGGTCAGTGATGCCATCCATCTCATCATCCATCGCCCCCTTCTTCCCTCCACCTTCCCCAGCATCAGGGCCTTTTCCAGTGAGTCAGCTCTTCGCATCAGGTGCAGGCAGGTCACTTACCTGGAGACTTTGCACCTGCTAGTGCCTTGGTCCTGCCCAGTGACCGACCTTCCCCCGGGCCCTACCTGCTCTCAGAGGAGCACCCTTGAGAAGTTAGAGCCTGGACTTGACATCCCCCTTCCCTGCTCAGTGCGTTCCTCTTTACTTGTCCTTGGTCCCCAAGTATGTCAGCTCCCTGCACTGTTCCTGGAACTGTGCTGGGTGTAGAGACCTCAGAACCAACACTTGCCCAGGGAAGCCACTCAAGGTGGGGAGGACCCCCCCCCAATCCCCTGACCACCCCCAACACCTGACAAGCAGGAGCCAGCTTTGGAAAATGGCGTCTTTATTGCTATGTTTGCAGTGGCTTTTAGCACAGTAAGGGCATCCCCACTGGACCCTGGCCCTCCCCCAGCCCCATCCAGCCCTTGTCAGGGTGTGAAGGAAGCCCCTCAAGGGCCCCCTCGGGACTGGACATGACAGACACACAGGGTTCAGTGAACCTGCCACATGGAGGATTTGAGACGTGGACAGGGCATCAGCCTAAAGCTCTCAGGTGGGAGCCATACCTAGGCAGGTGCCCACCTCAGGTCCCTACAGTAGTGGTGCCCATCCCAGAGGGCAGGGTGGGGGCGAGCCTGAGCAGGCCAGGTGGGCAGTCCCAGGCCCCCATGATGATGCATCGGCCAACCCCACTGACTTGTGGGGACACCCAGTGAGGCTCCCCCCAACCTTGCACTTTTCCACTGGTCTGGGGCTGGGGACTGCACATGCATACCCACGCGACGGACCTGCACACTTGATAGCTTGAAGCTTCTGTTTTGCCTATGAAAATTAGATCTAGAAATTCACACTCCTTGGCTGGGGGGCAGAGGTAAAAGAGGGGCTGAAAGGGATGGGGCGTGGCAAGGAGAGGGACATCGGGGTGTTTCTCTTAGAAATATACAAGCAGAAATCTCTCAAGTTTTTATAAAATGTGCAAAATACAAGCCTCATTTGCCCACAGGCACAACTTACACCTGGTATTCACCATTGCTAAGAGAGAACAGATCTATACCCTACGTACTCACGCACACGTGCACTCGTACACAAGCTCACACAATTGATATTGGTGGCAATTGGCGCAGGAACCGAAGGTCCCGTTGCTGGCTGGCTCTCTAAGCATCTAGATTTGGGATGGGGAGAGGGGTCTAGCCCAGCTGAAGTATCTGCCTTGGTTCTGCAGCTGTGCCCACCTTCCCCCTCTGCTCTCCAATCCTGGGTCCCACACTGCCACCTCTGGGGTGGGGGCCACCCAAGGGTGTGTCAGGCAGAACCTGGAGGCAGGCAGGGAGCAGCGGGCTCAGGTGAGACGTGACTGCAGCGGGTACTAGCGGGGGGCTGGGGAGAAGCGTGTGCACCAGCTTGGTTATGGGGGTGGGGGAGGCATCTATTTTTGGTGGGTTGTGGTATTTTTTTTTTGGTGTTTTATTAAAAATGGAAAAAAAAAGTGAGTTATAAGCACTCTGGTGCTTCCTCCCCTCCCCCCAATCCAGGCAGGCAAACCCCCCCCCCCACTGAATGGCAGGGAAAGGCAAGCCCCCTGGGAGGGGTGGGGGGGCTAAAGCAGGGGTGCTATGGCTACAAGAGAGGGAGCTGGTGCTGGGGGCCCATCACATGACACTCTCCACCACCACCACCTTGCTGCTCTCAGACACTGGAGTCAGGGTGGTCAGGCCCCTGACATCCGAGTCTTGAGCTCTGTATTCCAGGTGGTGGAGGCCCCAGATGGGCTGCGTCAGGTGCTGCCAGCGCTGTGGGAGAGAGGGGGGGGCGCCTTGAGTGCCTGGGGAGGGGACCCTGCTCACCCTGGGCCTCTGGCCACTTCCCGCCACCTGCCAACAACATGGAGCCCCAGGCCAGCCCTCCTGGGGTCGCTGGCCAGGCTGGACACCTGCACTAGGGAAACTGGGTTCAGGGGAGGGTTGAGTGAGTGAAGTCGCTCAGTTGACTGCAACCCCATGGACTGTCGCCCACCAGGCTCCTCTGTCCATGGGATTTTTCCAGGCAAGGGTACTGGAGTGCATTGCCATCTCCTTCTCCAGGGGGATCTTCCCGACCCAGGGATCCAACCCAGGTCTCCCATATGGCAGGAAATGCTTTACTGTCTGAGCCACCAGGGAAGCCAGTGGAGGGTTGAGTGGCTGTAAAAACAGAGGCCGGGGACAGGTCTCTTGTCTACATGACCTGAGGCCCTGGAGGGCCCACTTCTCTCCACCCATACCCCATCGAGGGTGCATGCCCTGGTCACCTCTCCTGGCAGCTGGTGGGACAGGCACCCTGGAGGTCCTGTCTGGACCCAAGAAGGGGGGGGGCATGGATGGAGGCGGGCACGGAGCACTGACCTCAGCCACGGTCCCCTTGGCCCTGAGGAGGCAGCTCAGGAGGTGGAGGGGCACACACAGCATGGAGGAAAGCGCGAAGGCCCAGCCCACGGCTTCGCCCCACCACGGGTACACGTAGGTGTTGTTGTAGACCAGCGGCTCGTGGTAGACCATATTGAAGATGAAGATGCCCTGCGAGTGAGAGAAGCTTGGCACTCACCCCCAGCAAACTCGGCCAGCCGGCCCCTGGGTGCCCTGCACCCTGCCTGGCCTTCTCCCTTACCATGCACACCAGTGGGGTGAAGAAAGACCAGCACCATTTCATCCAGGGGCAAGGTCGGTACCCGATCATGCAGGCCACATCATCCATGAAGCGATCAGCTCCTGGGGAGACAGGAGGGCCAGAGCTCAAGACACCACTCACCACCACCCCAAACTGTGCCCCCGCCCTGGCTCGCCTGTTGACCCCGACCTACCGTACACCCAGGCGACCACCACACACTCCCAGAAGGCCTGCCAGAGCAGCGTGGTGCCGCTGGCCGAGTAGTAGTCAAATAGCTGGAAGACATACATCCCGCCCTGCAGAGGGAGCCAGGTCAGGGGGGGCCAGCAGCTGGCCACCTGCAAGGCAGGGTGGGGGTGGGCAGCCCATGTCCCACTCACACTCACATCGGTCACCATGGAGAGGTCGATGACAAAGCAGAGGGTGCAGCAGAGGGCCACAGAGATCTCCCTTTGGAACCGGAAGTAGTAGGAGGCCGGGAGGAGGTCCAACAGGCCGGTGATGAAGCCTTCAACACCTACAAACTATGGCCGGGCAACTCAGGCCAGGCCCCTCCCATGCCTACCCACTGTCTCCTGGCGCCCAGGGTGCCCTAGGCCCACAACCACCCCCCACCACACACCTCGTAGGCCTATAACCCCTTGCAAACCTGGCTGTCGAGACCAAGCAGCAACAGCATAAAGAAAAACAGGGCTGCCCAGAGCGGGGCCACGGGCATCAGCGTGACGGCCCGTGGATAGGCGATGAAAGCTAGGCCAGGCCCTGAGGGGGAAGATGCGGGGTGTGGACATCCAGAGCTCCCCACCCACATCTTGTCCCCCACCCCACCCTGCCCTCCAACACCAGGGTAATGAACTATGGCAGGGTAGCCTGTGGACAGAGGCCTTTCCACTTGTGGTAAAGCATCACTGGGCCACTCCCACCCCAGTGTGCGCATCATGCCAGGGACCACGATGGTAGGTTCCTGCAGGCCCTTGGTGGACCAACACCCATAATGGGGATGTCTGGCTCAGCCTTTGGGGTCTAGGTTCCAGCAGCCATTGTGGTTACAGGTCCCCACAGACCCAGAAAAGTCCACCCTTGCCCTGGGCAACACTGGCATGGAGGCAAGGAGGACATGCCCCAAGGTCCCTACAGAGAGACAGACGGGGGCTTGGGGCTCTGGCCCTGAGCTGGAGGCACAGCTGTGCCTCCCAGCTGCTCAGCCAGGCCTCCTCCTGGCCCATGCTGATGGGACAAAGAAGGGTTGGCTATTTGTGTGTTCATATCCGTGGTCCAGCTGCAGTTTCAGAAGCCTGGCTGGGGCTTGGGGGGGGTGTCTTTACCTGATTCTGCTACCTTGGAGATGTGCACGCCCTGTTCTGTGGCCATGAAACCCAGGATGGAGAACACCACGAAGCCTGCAAAGAAGCTGGTCCCGCTGTTGATGAGGGCGAGTATGATGGCGTCCCTGTGGACGGGGAACACGGAGGCTCTTGAGACTGCCTGCCACCCACAGGTGGGTAGGGTAGGGCAGGGGTGGCTGGCTGTGGTGCCTACTTGTAGCAGTTGTTGTTGAAGCGATTGTAGCTGCCCAGGGCGGTGAGGGCCCCCAAGCCAATGGCGTAAGAGAAGAAGATCTGTGTCCCTGCATCGATCCATACCTGGAGGTGAGCCAGGGAAGAGGTGTGGGGAGCCCTGCTGGAGTACCTGCCCCCCACCACCATGTTGCCCGCCACCACTGTGTCCCCTCCCTCCACTCTCCCTCACCTGAGGGGATGCCAGCTTTGACCAGTCAGGCTTGAGATAGTAGATGATGCCATCCAAAGCGCCAGGTAGCAACACTCCGCGCACCAGCAGCACAACAAGGACCACATAGGGGAATGTAGCAGTGAAATACACGATCTGGGTGGACGGGGTTGGGCTGCTCAGAGGGGGGTCCTGCTGGGAAGGCCACGGTCCCCCCCACACTGGCCACTCAAACCACCACCCTCCACCCTGCCTTCTAGTCAGAGCCATGGCTCTCAAAGGAGGCTGTGCTCAGCTGAGGTATTGGCAGCCCCAAAGCAAGCAAGGTTAGCTGCAGGGAGGGGAGACAGGGTCAGGTCCCATGCTCCCTGGGCCCCTGAGTTTAGGTCATGTGCTTGCAAGGTCCTTGGGATTAGAACTCAGCCCACCAGAGACAGGTAAGAGCGAGGTAACAGCAAAGGCATCTGCCTCCTGTCTGAGCAGGGCAGCCTGTTCAGCACGCTATCTTATTTTGTATATGTTCAGTGGTCCCCCCAGCTGGACAGTGGACCCTCAAGGGAGCTATGTGTCCAGGCTCCCTGCTGGGGTCCTTTAGGCCACACAGCAGGGGACAGACACAGGCAGTAGACTGGGTCTACCTGCACCCTAAAACTTACCAGAACCCTAAACTGGAGCTAGAATCAGAAATGGGTGGGACAGGGATGCCCCACCCCCAGAGAAGGGGCAGCCACTGTGGGGGCCTCTCCCCCTCCACTGGGTGGGGCTTGGGCCGGATTGAAGTACAACCCCTGATGCAGTCACCTCCCGTGGCAGCAGTGGTTCCTGGCAGCTGCACCCCATGCCCAGGCAGTGGTGCCCCAGCCCTGTGTTCTCCCCCGGCTGTACCTTGCCTGTTGACTTGACCCCCTTCCAGACACAGAAGTAGACCAGCACCCAGCAGGTCAGCAGACACAGGGTCACCTCCCAGTTGAGGGCCCCTGGCACCTCCAGCCCTCCGGAGAGCCGCAAGACTTTGTTCCTGGAGAGGGAAAGCCTGTGAGAGTTGTGCCAACAGAGGCCAAGAGACTGGGGGTGTCCTGGGTGGCATTGCTCTTCTGGAAGCTCTTGAGTCTAGCTGGTCCCACTGGTGCTTCTGGGGGGCCTGGTGTAAGTCCCCAGCCTGGGGTCCCTGCAGTCTATGTGCCTGGGCCCCAGGCGGCCCAGCGTCATGCCATCCCCAGTGGGCCCAACAGCAGTTCCCACTTCCCTCCCCAGGTGGGCAGGCACAGCCTGCTCTGCATCCCTGGTCGAATGCCTCCAGGGCGGGGCCTGGGACACACCCATGTGCATGTACCTGTGCTGGCATGCACGTACACACATGCACGTACACAAGCTACATGCAGGAGGCAAGACAGACTAGGCCTGGCTCCGAGGCACTTTGACTCACTCCCAGAACTCGATGACCGGGGACCGGCGGTCGGCAAGCTGGTCACATGTGAGGTTGGCCATGGTGGCATTGGCACAGTCTTCGTGGCGGAAGATCTCCACACAATCAGGAGTGTTCCACGTGTGGCCACATGTGGCCCAGGGCAGCGTGGTAGTAAAGGACTTCACCAGATAATAGAAGCCCCAGGCCAGCACCATGATGTAATAGGTGTTGCAGTAGAAGACGATCACCATGGAGGCATAGCCCAGGCCTGGGGAGCAGGGGAGAGTCTCTGTCCAGGCTCATCCTTGGCCAGCCCCCCATTGCTCTCCTGACCAGGCACTGCCGGTGGTCCCTGCTGGGCCCCTAACATCCTGCTCCCTGCATCTGCTGACCTTGACCCCCCTCGGTGCAACCAGACCTTTCTGTTGATGTCTACCCAGACCCCTCCGAGCCCCCAACTCTCCTTGTATAAGTGCCAGGCAGACCTCTCAATCTGTGGCCAAAAATCAGGCCCTGTTCCTCCCCCAGCCCCCTGCTTCTTCCCCAGCCTTTGGACAAGCACACATCCCAGCATCAGAGAGGCAAGTCCAGTTTCCCTAGTCTCACACCTGTCATCCCCTGAGTCCCACTGCCAGCATGATGGGTGAAGGAAGGGCAAGCCTTCACCTGTTTCCCATCGCCCCCCAACAGCAACCTTCCATACTCAGTAGCTGCGGGGTTTTCTGGGGACCTGGGGCAGGGTGGGAGACAGTCACCATCTCAGGGGCAACCTCAGCCAATCACTTCATGAGTCTGTGCCACAGCCTTGGGTCAGCTCCTTTCGGCTTCTCCTGCCATCGCGTCTCACACACAGCCACCCTCCTTCCAGCCCTAAGGGTGCTGGGCAGGGCTTTCTCGCCCAGGGTGTGGGCAGAGGTCCATCCCCCAATCAAGTCTCTGCCCCTGCCAAGGTCACCCAGGTAGGTGGTCTTCAAGTCCTTGCAGCTTGGGGGCCACATGCCAAGCCTGGTGCTCAGACAGGATGAGGCTTTCTGTAGTGGGTACCAGCTTTGTCCCAGGGGTGGAGAAAGGCAGAGGTCTGCGAGGGTCACACAGGGGCTGCCAGGGCTGCTCACCTTTGAACAGGGGGCAGATATTCCAGACGTTGATGCTGCCGGCCTTCATGAACTGGCCCAGCGAGATCTCCAAGAAGAAGATAGGGATTCCTCCGATGAGGGCGATCAGAACATAGGGAATAAGGAACACACCTGGGGGACAAAGCTGGAGGTGGGCACTCGCACAGGGTTGCCCCTTGGCCAGGCAGGGGACTTGACCAGAACTGCACAGACAGGGAAAGACAGCCCTCGGCCTCCCCAAGCCCTGGGGGGTGGGTGGAGCCCCACCTCCAGGCTCCGCCCATGCCATAACTTCCCACTGAGTGAATCAGTATAAGGGGTGGCCGCTGACTCAGGGGCCCAAGGTGAACAGTCTTGGAGGTGGGGGGTGGGCATCGAGCAGAGCCCCACTTCCTTCTCATTTCCTGAGAGCCCCTTTCCCCTGTATGGCTTCGGCCCCTACTCACTGAGGGTGAGCTAACTAACGGGCATGGCAAACACGCACTTGTGGATACAAGCCACCCCTTGAGCTGCAGTTTGCTGGGCGGCAGAAGAAGGAACTGTGAGGGCATGAATGAGTGTGCATGCTCACGCCTGTTGGCTGTGGTTGGCACTCGGGCCCTGGGGCCTGCTGGGCTTGGGTAAGGGAAGAGAGCCTCTTGCCCGCACATCTGAAGGCCCAGGAAGAGGGTGGGTGGGTGGAGTTGTCCACTAGTGAGCAGAGTGCAGGGTATCTGAAAGGGTTGCTAAGCAAGGACACGAAGTGACCAAGTTAGGGGAGCCTGGCAGGTACAACAAGACAGGAGTACCCGGGATGGGAGTGGGGGACCCCTCCCCCTCCAGGTCCCCAATCCTTGCCCCAGCTCACCAGGTGACTACTCAAAAGCCTAAGCTTTGACTGCCGCTTGGCTGGGCCTGCGGTCTCCGCATCCTCCTGCTGTGACCTTGGGCCAAGGCCTTTGCTCTGGGCCTCAGTTTCCCACCCACCACCTTGTCTCTGCGGCTTTTCCCACCCCCCCCGGGGCTGCTTTACAGTCACAGGACACACGCGTGCCCATCACTGTTGCTAAGCTGGGCTGGGGCGGGCGGGCATGGGGTGTGCATGCAGTGTGTCCAGCGATGGCGCCAGGCGGCCCGGGCTGCCGGCTTCCCAAGCCTGGCTCCGGCACCCAGTGTTCCAGGCCCAGGCTCGAGGGGAGGGGAGGGGAGGGGAGGCAAGAGGAAGAGAGAGAAAGGAAGGGAGGGGAAGGCAGGGGGAGGGACAGAGTGGCCCATTGTGTGTGTGTTCGTGTGTGCACACGTGGGGGGCCGCACAATGTGCCACTTGTGTGCCTGATCGGCGGGGGCAGCCAGGGCTCCTCACCTCTGGAGGCCTCCCCCCAGGCGGGAGGCCTCGCCCGGCCACCTCGGTGGCCAACCACTTGCGGGTGGTGGTGCTGGGGGGGCGGCGGACACAGCTCGAGGCTTCCTTCGCAGGCCCCCCCCCCACGTTGCCAGGCACATGACCGGCCGGGGGTGGGGGTGGCCGCCCGGCTGGGCCACCGAGCGGCGACGGCGGGCGAGGGGCGGCCCCCTGACCCCCCTCCCTCGCCGCCCCGGGGGCCTCCCCACCCCCTGGACTTCGCCCGGCCGCCCCGGTGGGGCCAGGGAGGGGCCCGGCACTCACCTCCGCCGTTCTTGTAGCACAGGTAGGGGAAGCGCCACACGTTGCCCAGGCCCACGGCGAAGCCCACGCACGACATGATGAAGTCCATCTGGCGCGTCCAGGTCTCGCGCGGCGGAACGGCCAGGAGGCTGCCGGGCGCCCCCAGGGCCGCGGGGCCGTCGCCCTTGGCCGGGGCTCCGTCGGGCCCGGGCGCGATCAGGGGGCCCTTCTTCTCCTCGCCGGACACGCTGTAGATGCCGTTCTCCGTGCTCTTGTTGGCCATGGCCGGGGGCACGGCGGCCCGCGGGGGCGGGCGGGCGGACAGGCGCGGGGTCGCCAGCGGCGCAGGGGGGGATAAAGGCCCCGAAGGCGCGGGCCCACCGGGGGCCGAGGACGGCCGGACCGAGGGGTCGGGGCGGCGGGCGGGAGGCGGGCGGGGTGCGGGACGGCGGGGGCGGCGCGGTCAGAAGCAGTCCACGAAGCACTTGAAAGTGAGCCTAAAGAATCTCATGTGTGTCGGGGGCCCGGGGGCTCGCGGGCGGCGGCGGGGCCCGATCGGGCGGCGGCGGCGGCTCCCGAAGCTCCTGCCCGCAGCTCCCGCGGCGGCGGTGGCGGCGGCGGCGGCGGCGGCTCGCCCGGCCCGAGGCTCAGCCTAGCGGGGGCGCGGGCGGCATCCGCAGCCCCCTGTCTGCAAGCGGCGGCCGGAGCAGGAGCCTGCGGCCCGCACCTCCCGCGCGCCACCCCCCCCCCCCTGCTCCGGCCCGGCCCGGCGCGGCGCGGCTGCTGGACTAGCCTGCGGCTCCCGCGGCGGCGGCCTAGGCGCTCACCCCTCCTTCCCGGCGGCGGCGGCGGCTTCAGCCGCTCTCCGGGCCGCAGCGGGCTCAGCGACTCACCACCGCGCTCTGATCTCGCCTCTCCTCCTTGGCCGGACCGCTGGCTGCTTATGAACCGTCTCCAGGGTGACGTCACTCTCGCCCCGCCCCCCCCCCGCGGACGGGGCGCGCCCCTCCCCCTCCGCGCGCCCGCCCCCCTCCCCCCAGTCACCCCGCCCACCTCCTCCCGCCCTTCTCCAGAGCCGGAGACGCCGCTCCCGCGGGAGGCCGCCCGCTACCTGGGGCGCCCTCCAGCGCCTCCTTCCCGGGGCCCAGCTGCCCCTGATCCCAGGTTCCTCCAGGCCCGGCGCACCGTCCACCCACCTCACTTGCCCTTCCCGCTTCGAGGCCTGCCGCTGGCCCGGCTACCTTCTCGGACATCCTGGGGCAGCCCCCGCCCCAACCTCCTTCTTGCAGCCTGGCCCATCTCTGAGTCCCAGCCGAGGTTGGGTACCAAGGCCTCCAGCTTCCGGGTCCTGCGACACCAACTCAGGGGTGCAGGCTGATTCCACCTGCTGAGGCGCTGGGCCCAGCGAGCCCCCTCAGAAAGGCTGTGGTGGCGGTGCGGGTGTCTGTCTCCAGGGGTGCTGAGGGGCTTTGCCGAGACCCTGTCTCCTGCCCTTGGGCCCCCCACACGCCCCAGGGAGACAGCCTTGATGAGTCAGTGTCCCGGCTGTCGGAGTGACAGCGCTTGCTGACTCTCCTCAACAGGCCGAGGGAAGCCTGACTGGCCGACGGACAAGGCCGCACTTTTTCACCCAAGTGGACGGTGGGAGGGACTCCTGCGGCCCCTCTGCGTGCCCGACCTGCAAGAGACTGTGGCACTATAGGGTAAGGGTGCCCTCTGGTGCTTGGCAGGTGCACGGACCCTCCCCAAAGGCCTCCGCTCCACGCTTTTCTCTCTCCAGGGATCGGCAGGACCCAGGTTGTTCAGCTGCTTCCCCAGCAGCCCTTGAGCCGCCTGTTTGGAATTTTCCAGGACTGAGAGCAGCCCCAGGATGGGGTAGGGAGGGGTCACCATCATGGCTGCAGATGTGCACTGTGCCCACTCGCAACCCCCTGCCCCCAGTCCCAGGCTCTCCCGAGCGCGCCACGCCCACTCGCAACCCCCTGCCCCCAGTCCCAGGCTCTCCCGAGCGCGCCACCCTGCAGTCCCCAGATGGCTCATCCCGTTAAGCTAAACCCTCGGCCTTCCGGGCGGCTTTAGGAAGAAAAGCAGTTCCGGTCCGAGCCAGCTTGAGCCTGTTAGGTGAGGGAGGGGCAGCATCTCCACCCGGGCTCGCTGGGGGAGCCTTGACTGGCCGCTGGGGGAGATGGGCAGGGTCTCAGGACTCAGGCTGGGGGCGGGGCCTGGAGCTCAGGGAACCCCCCTCTTCCCGAGGTGACGGGGGTCCACTGACTTCTCAGAAGCCCCGATCTGGAGCTCTGGCCCAGCCTCAGAGCGAAGCTGCTCGGGAGACAGGCAAATGAGGAGTACTGGACCCAAAGATGGCCTGAGGAAGCCGGGGGCCACCCTGCCTGCCAAGCGAGGACCGAGGGGGGATAGCACGAGGCCAATCAAGTGCAGGCACCCCCAGACACGTTGGAGAGAGCAAAAGAGGATCTAAGTGGAGCGGGCAGAGGGGAAGGGGCAGGGCACCACTTGCAGGCTGGGTGTGGTGACGCCTCTGAGGGGAGGCGTCAGCTGTGGCAGGGACCTGGGTGACGTGTTTACTGGGACAAGTTCGGGGATGGTGAGGTCCTGGCTGGGGCAAGGAGCCTCCAGAATGTAACTTGCTTGTTCTGAGGAGGTTGGCAGGGAGAGGGATCATAGGGCCGGAGGAGGATGTGGTGAACTGCTGGCACTTTCTGAGGAGGACACAGGGTGAACAGAGCAAGGCCAAGAGTGGGGACTGCCTGTGACCTTGCTGGGAGGGCAGGGGACATATGTCAAGGCCAGTGGCAGGATCGGAGGGAACTGTCACCTGTCACGATCATGGTGGGGTCAGAGGCTTCTCAGGGGTAGGTGACTGGGTCCCAGAGAACTCTCGAGGGTGAGCTGGCTGTGGAAAATGGCTCCAGCTCCTTCAGGGACTACCTCCAGCCACTCGGAGCCAGGGTGTCCACATTCAGGGGCTGCAACAGGCTGGTTCCAGTGGTTCCTGACACCACCTCCCGCCTTCTGGGACTCCATGTGGCCCCCTCCTGTGGCCTACGCTTCTCTCGGTGGCACAAATCTGACCAGGCCCTCCCCACGTGTCCTCTCCTGTCGTTTCCTCTGCACCAAAGATCCACCTGACATTCGTGGAGCCCATGGGCCGTGACCCAGGGTGCCTCTTCCTTGCCTACCACCTTCCAGTCCTGCAGGGTTCAGCTCAGCTGCCACCTGGCCCAGGAAGCTGGAGAGGAGGCTGGGGGTGCCCTTGACCCACGTGCATGCCCACACAGCCTCCTGCGTCCAACTGAGGTGAGCTGGCCTTCAGAGACACACGGAATTCATGGACCGGTCCTCTGGTGCATATTAGGCAAGCGTGATGACCACTACACTACGGAAACTTACTCTCTGGTGTGTGGACCCAAGCAGCCTGTGGGAGTGTCCCAGTGGACAGGGAGGTCTCCAGTGTTCAAACACAGGCAGAGGGGTTTCCAACCCTCGGTGGGGTCTCAGGGCTTTGCCAGCACATCCCTCTGCTGCAGCAGAACCTCAGCTGAAAGCCAGGAGGCTGTCCTCCACTGGGCCCAGGTACTGATGGCCCTTCCAGTCAGTTCAGTCGCTCAGTCGTGTCCGACTTTTTGAGACCCCATGGACTGCAGCACGCCAGGCCTCCCTGTCCATCACCAATTCCCAGAGCCTGCTCAAACTCATGCCCATTGAGTTGGTGATGCCATCCAACCATCTCATCCTCTGTCATCCCCTTCTCCTCCTGCCTTCAATCTTTCCCAGCATCAGGGTCTTTTCCAGTGAGTCAGTTCTTTGCATCAGGTGGCCAAAGTATTGGAGCTTCAGCTTCAGCATCAGTCCTTCCAATGAATATTCAGGACTGCTTTCCTTTAAGATAGACTGATTGGACCTCCTTGCTGTCCAAGGGACTCTCAAGGGTCTTCTCCAACACCATGGTTCAAAAGCATCAATTCTTTGGCTCTCAGCTTTCTTTATGGTCCAACTCTCACATCCATACATGACTACTGGAAAAACCATAGCTTTGACTAGATGGACCTTTGTCGGCAAAGTAATGTCTCTGCTTTTTAATATGCTGTCTAGGTTGGTCATAGCTTTTCTTCCAAGGAGCAAGCGTCTTTTAATTTCATGGCTGCAGTCACCATCTGCAGATGCACCATCTGCATCTTTATTTTGGAGCTCCCCAAAATAAAGTCTGTCACTGTTTCCATTGTTTCCCCATCTATTTCCCATGAAGTGATGGGACCGGATGCCATTGTCTTTGTTTTTTGAATGTTGAGTTTTAAGCCAGCTTTTTCACTCTCCTCTTTCACCTTCATCAAGAGGCTCTTTAGTTCTTCATTGCTTTCTGCCATATGGTTGGCCCTTCCAGGTGGGTTCCCAATCACTCCTCCCCGGTGAGACAGTGAGACGCAAAGCATTCACCAGGCAGAAGCCACAATTAGACTGTGGGTGAGAGGTAGGAGGTGAAGAGGAAGGGGAGGGGAGGAGGGGAGAACTGGAAAGAGGGAAGGCCAACCCAGAGGGCTCTCATTGTCCAGGGAGGCCTAGGAATTTGAGCTGGGGATTGGACCCAGTGCTGGTCACAACTGGGGTCCTCGGAGTAGTGGGTTGAGTGGGAGGGCACCCTGCCCTGGGGTGACTGGTTATGCCAAGAGGGTCTTGCAGCTGGAGACAGGGTGGGGGCAGATTGGGGGCTCCCCCTCTTTCGAGGCTGCCAGGCACAGGAAGCTTTGGAGTTAGAATTAGCTGGGAATAAAGGAAAAACTGGAGTCTACCTTGAAGGGCTTTGTGCTTCCAACCACTGGGAAGGGGAAGAGAGGTGCAGGCTGCCCGGTGGGCTGGGGGGAGGGCCACCCGAGAGGCTGGAAGCCTGCAGAGGCAGATGGTGGGCAACCTACCCCTCCCCAGCCCACACAGCATGCTGGTCCACCAGCTGTGCTCATCCACACAGATCTCCCCCAACAGGATTTTAAAAATTGGTTTCTGTGTTGTAAATGAACTCTCTTTATATCAGAAGAGCTTTAGAGGCATAAACCAACGGTGGAGCTAGTAGCGAGAATTCCCACCCCCACCCCCAGCTTCCCTTGTTACTAACACTCTCTGTTGTGTGCTCCTGTTGTTACAATAATCAACCAATGTTCTACATTGCCACCCACTGAGGTCCAGTTTTCCCCTTTTGTTCTGGTGCCTGAAACTTCCAGTACCGAAGACATGATACCAAGGGACCCAGGGCCCTTTCCCTCTGCCTCT